GTTTTCTCAGTTGACATCCTGTTAATATCTCTGCTCAAGATACCATATTCAGCTTGCGTAATAAATATTTTTAAACAAAACAGAGCATTGACAGATAGTTTTACCATCTTCGGGAAAAAAATCTAATAATTTAATCTCGTTATAAATATTTAGTAAGCATATAGCAAGTGAAATTTAAGACAGAAGGAACTTCCCCTCCTAAATGCTAACAACATACTTCAGTCATTTAGTTTTACTACTTGATTTATATTGCTGTACACTTTGGGTTCCTACTGCATATATTAAGAACTGGCATATTACACTGTGTGCATAAAACGTGCTTCAGCTTTCTATTGGAGGAGCTGGGTACAGAACCTCATCTTAGAGAGAGAATTCTTGTGCAGAAGCTCATTTGGTTTTGAAAATTAGGCAAGGTCCCAGTTAGAAGAAGTCCAGTTGCTGTAACAGAAAATTAATGTGCTGTACTTCTTTGTTCTCATTTAGGTTTCATGCACAGTCCAGAAATCCAGAAAAACAGTTTACCTGACTGCATGATGTAGTAAATATAATTGAATGCACTGTTCAACAGATAATGCTTGCCAACTCTAATGTGCTTTAGCTCATCAAAGATACAAGTGTATATTTAAATTTGTAGTACTATGTATTTTAAAGATAGAACTGACTCTTAGTTGGTGTGGTTACAAGAGGGCTGGGTGAGACAGAACCAGGCTACAAGAACATGTGCTGAGGTGGTAAGAAGAAAAGAGGTCAGAAAACCCCTGGCTGGCATCCAGTAAGTGTAGCCCTGACAGTGCAAACATGGCTGTCCTGCTTTGGAGTAGGGGCTCGCTCTCAGAACAGCTAACCCCCCCGCCCAGAGGTAGTAAACTGTGCAGATTGCATTTTAAATACCAGGAGGAGGGTCAGTTCTCTGGCCAGTTGCTTCACAAAGCAACAATGAATGCTGCTTTATTGTAAGTGACACTGTACTCAACTTCCCCCAGTTCTCTTCAGTCTTTATCTTCACCTTCATTTTATAAGCATGAAATTCTTCCCCACTCAAGATAGTAAAACTCCAATGACAAACACAGGCTTTAAAGAGCCTGCAGTCTGATCTCTTCAAACCCACTACAAAAAGCCCTTATTTTCCAATAAAATTTATAATTGGACCAAAATTACTGTTTTTTCCACCTTAAGATCATCACATTACCACTGATTTTAGTGAAAATTGTGTTTAACATAAAAAAAATTAATCCTTGTTATGTAGTTGATACCTGTAAGTGTGAAGGCCTTTTGTGAGATGTCTCTCGGTTATAGCATAACTTATACAGAAAAGACATATGAAGCTTAATGCTGAATTTGACTTCTGATGTGAGCATCACTGTAATTTTTTTCCTTGAACAGTAACAGTAGCTGATTATATATCACGAGCTGAATCTCAAAGTAGACAGAGAAACCCTCCAAAGGAGACACTAGCCAAAACCAAGAAGGAAACGGTAAGAAGTTTTTTGTGTGTGTGTTGTTTTTCACTCATCCCTTGCAGCAAAACAGTAAAGGAATGTTTCATTTGGATCACCCTCACGTGACTACAAACACATTTGAGTTCAAGAACAAATCGTTAGAAGAAGCGCAGAGCAAAGAGAACTGTCATTGACTCGTAGGCTGTCGTTGCAGACTTAGTGACCAGTGTGGTGCTCAAATTAAGTCTCTGTGCACTTTATTACACTTATTAATGTAACATCACATTTAAAAATGTGAAAATTATCCATGGACAAGTCTCAGGAACCACTCCTTGAAACACTTTGTTTTATAAATAGAGGACACTACGCAGCATGTTTAGCAGCTTGCACAATCTTACTTCAGATATGTTAGCAAGACTGTGGATTTGAGATCTGTTCTCTTTAAAGGATCAGAGTGGCATTACATATCATAAAATAGCATTCAGAACTGAGCAAAGCAGAATGCCTTCTGAAGTAACGTTGCATTTAGTGCCTCAAGTGTAGCAAAATAAGAACAATCCATTGCTATATGATTAAGACAGTCTGATCTTGCTGTAGACTCTGGAGGGGGTGCAAAACTCAGCTTTTCAGTTAACTTCTTTGTTGGCTTAGACAAGTTAGGAAATTGTGAGGTAGGCATTGTGGGTAAGTGAGGTGGTGCTGCCGCAGGGTGACCTTGGCACGATTCCCTGGGAGGAGTCTGATAGGCAAGTGTCCTGTAGACCACAGGGTAAGTAACGGGATGCTGTGAATGGCAGGACACTGGCAGAGCCAGACGAGAGCAGTTTCTTATGGCAAAGCTGCTGTGTGAGCCAGAGGGAAACTTGGGTTGCACTCTATGTACTTCTGCAGAATCTGTAGCGTTACCTTGGTTTTGTTTTTGCAAGGCAAAAGACGTGATTGATGAGAACAACCCTTCCGAAAAGGCGGTGAATGGTCCTGCTCCAGCACCTGGGGATGAGCCTTCTAAACTACAGCACAGTCCTGATGAGAAGAAAGTTACTGTTCAGGAGGATGGGAATACCCAGGAAGAAGCAGTGCTGAATGGTGTTTCATAAACTGAAGTTCCTAGTTTACAGCTCTTTTACATTACATTTAAAATAGTGCTTGTATAAGCTTGCCAAAGATAGAATATGGATCGCCAGTCTTGACACCGCACTTTCAGTTCCTCCATTTTGGAATACAGAAAGGGGAGGGATCCTGAAGAAATCATATGTTAAACATACTTTGACACCTACTGTGTTATAAATATATCATCAGATGTGCCTTGAGATAGTATATGTAACATTTAAATAAACAAAATTGCTGGCTATAGGAAATGTTATTTTGTTTTCAAAATACGGCAAAGATGTGAGGGGGATCCCAAACATAATACTCTTTATGAAAGCATTAGCTGCTTTTGTTACATTTTTAATAATATGCAACCACTTCTTCACCTGAGGAATACTAGAAAGAAATGCAGTCTAAAATATTTTGCACTGAAATGTAATTTCTCCATTAGTTTAGTCTGGAAACTGGTCTGTTTTAATACATGTTTTTTAAATGCTGTATGTAGAGGAAAAATCTGCAGACCACTGGAATACATTTGTTAAATTCTCATAATCTGCAGGGATACTGGGTGACATTGGCAGTGACTGTTCTACATTGAGGCTTTGTTTGGTTTATTTATTAAACTGTACAGTATTTAAAAATCAAACATAGCTTTAGTTAACACTAAGCTGAATTAGTCATGTCCATTAAGACATAACCTGAACTACTGAAAAGATCAATTTCCAGAAAGTTTATTCTGTATAAACTACATATGTTAGTCCTTAGTAGAGTATTTTTATTTTTGTTTTGGTTGTTTGATGTGCAATATGTTTTTTTTTGTATGCTGGTAGTAAAAGAAAATAAACTTTGATCTTCCATCTGTTGACTGTTTCTATCAAATTTAAATTACTATTGACTTCAAGGTTTTCAAGCTGTTAACACTAACAATTGAAACTTACTTTCAAGGCAGCTTGAACCTTTAACTCTTTCTTAAGAGTTTTCTAACATGCTAATTTTTCATTCTTTGAGATGTAAAACCTCAGGTAACAAGTCTAAAAAGAGACTTACCTTGGAGAATCACATAACCTGACTAACATATATAGGATTTAATGCAGATGTAGTTTTTGAGGAGCATGACACACTAACCCATCTTTTAAGGCATATGAGCAAGAGCAACGAAGCAGAAAACGGGTGTGGAAAAGCATCTGGGTAGCAAGTTGTAAGAAGTCTGGGCAAACTCTAGTACTGCTGTGCTGATCTGAAAAAAAAATTCTTAACTGATTTCATCAGAAGTTAGGAGAAAAATAAGTACTCTGGACTATCTGTGTAGGCCAGCTGCTACCCCTCATACAGCTGTAGAAGAGTTGTACTGACAAGGTGTGGGTATGTATTTCATTGAAGGAGATGTGCAGTTTTTAATACAACCTCAGTCAACAGCATACCCTCCTGGAGACCAAACTCACATTGTTGTAACTGATGTGTGCACAAACGTCTCAACTGGTAAGGCAGCCACGGGCATGGAAAAAATTTTAAAAACATGGCAGGGGGGGAAGGAAGTTACATTTAAAAATGCACTTGGCAGGGAAAACCTTTATAATAAAGTTTGAGATATGCACACTCTGGAACTGCTGCAAGGCTCTGTTAGAGCTGGTTTTTTCACCCCACTTTAAATTCTCTAGTAAAGCAAAGTTCTCCCCCCTCTCTGTAGTCTCTAAACGTTTTCCCTTTCCTACTGTTGTTCCTGGTTTGATCCCTGCTGCTGAAGCCATGGAGCCCTTCCTCAGTTACTCTGGTATTCCTCAAGGGTCTGTAATGAGCCTACAGAAATGCAGAAATTCACCCAGAGGATCTAAGACCACCTGGAGAAGTACTCAAGTGGAGTAACGAAAGCTTTGAAATGTGCTGGTTTTATGAACAGATGGGTGTTGACTATCACACTTGCTGCACAGCAGCTTTACTCTAATTGCAGAAAGACAGGCAAGATGCTTGGCCAGGTGACAGGATCCTCTGGCTCCAGTGCAGATAATGACAAATCCAGCTCAGGTATGTTTGGTGGTCTTTGCAGAGTCCCTGTTTGCCAATTGCTACAAATACAAACCTTGTTTTGTGAATTCTAAGTTTGTAGTGTAAGAGAATGTATAAAGCTACAGTACTTACAGTAAAAATTTGGAATTTATTAAATGCTATAAAATCCATTAAAAACTGAAAGTTACTAAAAAATCTTGGATGCTTAAGAAAGCTCAACCAACCTTGTTTTTCACAAGGCAAAGACAAGTGGGCACACAGTTTCCTATACTTTATTTTTTCAGTCAGAAACAACCATATACTTGTCCCAGTTCTTCCCATCAAATAAAGCCTCTTGATTTCTGCACCCTCCTCCCCAAACCAGCTTATCATGCTGACTTTGGTGTATGAAAGAACAGCAGCATGAGCTTTAAATGTAGCTAGTTTAACAAATATGAGGTAATGGCACCTAAGTCTACCTGTATCTGGTAACACGCATTGGCCAAACCAAATTACTACTCTTATTACTGAAAGTATTTGAGTGTCAGATTTTCCTGCTTAATAACAGCTATGAAAAAAAGCTTTAAGCCTCACTCCCTCACACGTTTCCCCAAAAAGTGGCTGAGTGGGGAGGGAAGTACCTCCCTGGCTTTGAGTTTCCAGCTTCATTTATATTAAGTCAAAGACGGACATATGAACTTTTCTTAAGACGTTTATCAAAAATAATCATTTGCATGGACAAACCCTCTGCTTTTCTCTCTCATTCATTTTTTAGCTTGATCTTCCAGTAAGTCTTTAGCTTCATTGATTTTGGCTGCTACATATGGAGAGCCACCTAGAAGAAAGAGAACCTGACGTCATGCCAGATGAAAACAATACTTCCTGTGTTGTTAATGCTGCCACAGTACCCAGGAGAAGCAGTGAGAGCAAGGGCTACACGTTACTCAGTTAAAGAGCGACCTGTGTGACGACTGAAGCCGTGTTAAGTCTACGCAGACAGTCACCACGGCAGCCTGACGTGCTGACAGCTCGTTCCTCTTAGGCTGCTTTTGGCTTCCTGGCATGCTTTTTGTCTCCAGTTGTATCAGTCACAAGTGAATTGGTTGCTGATGACTTAGTGTGAATTTTGTTGTGACTGCAGGAGCATTAAATTATCTGTATATAAACCTTTCCCCCTAGTTCAAGGCCAGCGTAGGAACCGCTGCTGTATGAACAGCCTAGTCCAGTTGCTAAACATGACAAATGCCTTGTGAAGAGATTGGAAGAGAATCCACAATGCAAATACACTGAAACCATAACTGACCTTGAGGTTCACAGAGTTGCAGTGTGTACTGGCAGCATGTACACCATTTACTAGTGCTAGAATGAGACTATTTACTTGAAGTTTAACCCTAGTTCATGTAAAGAACATGAAATGCTCCCTATGAATTAATCAATGTGACTTCATTTACTTGCCTTTATCTGGATGATTCAGAAGCATGATCCGTCTATGAGCTTCTCTAATTTTACTTCTGTTGGCTGTAGGGCTTTAAAAGATAGAGAGAAAAACTGTCTTAAGGGAACCTCATAAAACCCCCAAGACCCTTAACAGATGTCTCAAAATAAGCAAGCCCTCTGCTTTAGCCATAAGCTCTTTGGCTGACATGTATGTTTTTCTTTTCCTATTACTGATGAGTAGCATGTAAGCCCTGGCAAAGGCTTCTACAGTTTTTCCAAAACCTTGTGCTGACGAAGACAGGCTAGAGCAGTCTAATATGCAGGGGGGTGGTGTCATTCACAGGGTTGAAAAGAAACAGAACTACGTTGTAACATTTTTATTGGGACAACTCCCTAAAGGCTAGATGAAAAAAATATTTTAAAATTGCTTTTAATTTATTTAAAAAAAAAAAAAAAACAAAACACAAACCCAACAACAGTTTGTACACAAACTTCACATGCAAGAAGTGGGCTTGCAGCAGCTTCACACTGCACCTACCTGAAACTCGCCAGCAGCGACACGGACACAAGCAAACAGCACAACCCTGTTCCCCACACCGAGGAAAGACCGAGGCCTCCCAAAAACGGCGCATTTACCGCTGCTTCGTATTCTCTGACTTGGCAGTGACATTCCCCGGGGCAGCTGGACACAGGACACTCCTAACCATTGAGAACTGCATCCTTTTCAAACTGCACCAAGAGTCAGGCACTACCACAGCCTCTTTTTACCATTCATTTTTAAGAAGTTTCCTTTTACCTCACTCCTAGTATTAAAGCTGCTTCTCGTTTAGTCATTTTAGGTTCAAATCCACCTCTGTAATAACCACTGAAGGCCTGAAAAAGAAAGTGCGTTAGTTTAAAGATACACTATTTTTTTTAAGACTAACCTGATAAAGTTAAAACAACGTATTGCTTTAGTAGCTGGTAAGCTTTTAGTCTGTCAGAACACTGCAAAGCTTCTTTTGCACTTGTAGTAAGAAATTCAATGGAAGTACCGTTATTTATATGAGAACTTCAACTTGCCAAAGCAAGTTCTGTTAGTCAACAACCACCAGTATCACCGAGATTAATTATTACTGACAAAATTATGTGTAGCTTTAGAAGGAGATACAATAGTCTGTAGTTGTTGCACCAAGGAAAATTCTAAATAAAAAGTTGTTATTGATAGAACAAAAACTTACAGGTTTTGGTAGATTCTGAAGCGCTTGTTTTACTTGTGGCTCCATTTGCTTCATAGCTTTTAGTGCGTATCGACCTTAAAGAAATCAGTGTTGGACAAGGCTGAGCATAAAGGTGCATTAAGATATAAAGATTTAGTAATTCAATGCAACCACTAATTTACAGATTAGAATACGGAATCAACTTTTGGGGGACATAAGGTGAGAACTTCGATCTGCAGTTCAATTACACGCGTGTTTCTCGATACAGGCTCTCCCAAGAGAGCGTCCTGTATCTGCCATTGAACGACCTCAAAACCCCCAGTCCCGGAGCAGGCCGCGCAACTTCCGCTGCGCGCTCAGCGCCCTCCGCGGCTA